CTTTCCCACAATGTGGGCAGAATAGCCACAACATTTACCCACAAAGTATTGTGGCTATTGTGGCTAGAATCTTTTTCATTGTGGTTCAGTGAAGATGGTCCAGAAAACAGCATTTCCAGGACAAAGACATGTTTATCCCACGTTTTTCGATGACGTATCGTGTGTTTGAGCCACGTCCTGCTTGAGCCAGGTCCTGAACGAGGTGTGGGCCACTGACTATAATCGATTATTATGTATGATATGCCTTACCCCACTCATACACCAGGTTGTAACACCAAGCAAAATGGCAAGCGCACAATGCTGCTGCATTAACTGCAAGACAAGAATGGAGATGCTGGATGTTAGCTACAAGAGGGCGGCGAAAGATGTCGGAGGCTTCGAATGCGACGTTTGTGGGTACAAAAACGGCACCCGCAATCGGCGCCAACGTATCGGATGCAAGGCCTGTGACTTCGACCTGTGCTCGAAGTGTGGCAACAGCTGGGTGTTGAAGAAGCTCCTTCAGCCCTCGAGCAGTGGTGCACAGCAGGCTGATGCGCCCCAGGCCACAAACAGCGGCACAACACAGGCCAGCGGTGGTGCAACTTCAGAACCTTTGGCACAGCAAGTTGCTGAGCAACCCATCACTGCTGAAAACATCCCTGCCGACCAGCCTTCACCTGCCGCAGATCCAGCACCAAACTTTGGTCCAAAGGGGTTTCCTGCAGGCACAGTGCTCGGGAACCTCACACAAGACGGACTTGCACGACCAGACGATCCGCGTTACACTAGTGCATCAAGCAAGACATGGGACTTCCATGTCTACTTTCAGGTTCTCGAAGACGGGCTAGCCATGTGTCGTTTGGAAGGGTGCACACACATGCCAAAGATGCGCAACGAGAAGGGAACACCAAAACGCCACTACGATACGTACCACAACCACGAGGCGATTGAGGCAGCAAAGCGAGGCATCCGGGAGAGGGCTGAAGAGAGAAAGAGAAAAGCGGAAGCAGCAGCAAACGAGAAGGCGAGCACCGCGAAGCAGCGTCGCATTGCTGTTTCGCCAACAGTGCGGGGGTTGCCACTGGATGAGCATGTTGTCTTCACGTTTGCCAAGCACCACCTCCCGTTCCACATCATTGAGTCGCCGGACTTTCGTTCTCTGCTCAAGGCAGATGTCATCATGACGAGACGCGAACTCAGCCAGAAGACAGCGCTGCTTGCAGAGAAGCTCATGACAGAGCTCTTCGCCTCACTTGCCGGGGAAGATGTCTGCCTCCTCGTGGATGCGGCAACGAAATGCCGCAGAACATTTCTTGGTGTGTCCCTCGCCTGTGGAAACACAGTGTATCACTACGGTGATATAGAGGTGAAGTGTTCAATGACTGCTGCAGCTATCGCTGGATGCCTGGACAAGATTCTGGATACACTCACCGAAGGGGGGATCACCGTTGTTGGTGCTGTGGCGGACAACGCAGCGGCGATGCAGAGCGCACTGGACCAGCTGGGGGACGAAAGTGAATCGGACGAGTCGGAAGCAGAGCAAGACGCAGACGGGATGCCTGCCGAGGATGCGCTGAATGCGACAAGAGAGCACCTTGCTTATCGTGGGCTCCTCGTCTTTCGGTGTGGGGCCCACAGCCTCCAGCTTGTCCTCAAGGACATCTTCGACATCGACCGCTTCTCAGCGTTCAAGAAAAGATTCCTTGTCGAAAACGAAAAGTACGTGCACAAGGAGGGGGCAGAACAACTGAAGGCAGCCCAGGCAGAAGCTCAGGTTCCTAACACTCAGATCAAAGGACTTCGTTGCTTCACCACTGTGAGATGGAACAGTATGTACGATGCCATGCTTCGCCAGAAAGAGCTCAGTGCCCACATCGAAACTGTGTCGGGAGACGGCACCAACTGGGAACGATACTGGTCCGACCTTAACCAGTTGATCGACATCTGTGCCCCATTTGCCATTGCCACAGATGTTGTCCAATCGGACCGAATGACTTTGGAGGGACTTCTTGGGGTGCTCGCCTTCCTGGACCAGCATGCTGCAAAGATGCGAAAAGGAAACCTTCGAGCGAAGGAAGCTTCGGAAATCTGGGAGACCAGGAAGGAGCGTCACTTCACATCTGCTGCCACCTCTCTTTTCAGCACCCTGAACCCAAAGGAAAACCACGGGGATTGGTCCCGGCGACACCACAGAAATTCTTTGGATGAAGTGCTCAAGCACGTTGTTCCCTATGCCGACCGGAAGAAGAAGTCCCTTGGGACCTTCAAAGATCGCGAGAGCCAGGTAACCACCGAACTTACAACGTTCTGGAACCACGGGGTTGTTCCTGCTTGCGCAGGCTCGTTCCTCAAATACTGGAGCACCCACACACGCCGCCTTGACTTCCCCGTGTTGAGTTCCTTTGCCATTGCACTTGCCAACTGCACAACAACCGAGGCTGCGGTAGAACGGAACTTCAAGGTCCTCTCGCGGCAGTTAACGAAGCACCGCGCATCCTTAAAGTCGCAAAAAGCATCTTCTTTGGCGATCATCGCGATTAACTATCCGAAGCTTGCTGCCGACCACTTTGCACCCGAATCTGAGAAGAAGGCAGCCACAGAAAAAAGAATGTTCACACGCCTTGCCATGCGGCTGTCCGAAGAGCAAAAGAGTTGCATTGCCCCGTGGTTCTCACTCAGCCCGCAGGGTACAAATGCCAGTCCACCCCAGAGTCAGACATCTTCTTCCAATGATGTATCACCGCCTAACAATGTTGCCCGGGCTCTTTACTGAGTCATAATTACTGGCAATCACACCCATCCAAAATCCCCCTGTTCTCATTATGAATATCTCTTGCATAAACTCAGTGAAGTACCTCTCCTCCGCCAGACTGCTGCTTGCCAGTGCCCTGGCAGGGGTGAGGGGTGGTGCTTACCACCTCGAATGTATCAGCTCTGTTCCCCTTACTTCTGGTGAAGCTCCGAACTTCACTCTAATTCCTCTCTGTTCTCGATCTGAATTCGCCAAGAAAGCCCAAAAAAATGTTCTTCAGTTCCCTCACCAACTTTTCTACAGTAAGCACAGCACCCCAGGAGGATGCCGCCAGTACCCCAGTCAGGGTGGCCCCAGGCTGACAAGCACACAGAGACATACCAGATAGTCCAAACACAGGTGGGGACACGAGAACAACACGATACATCATCGAAAAACGTATGTATAACACCCATTCCACGAAAAAGTGTCACAGATTTTCCGTCTGAAAAGCAGCCCGTTTTGGGTCAAAATTTTGGAATTTTTGGGAAATTTTTTTTGGGATGGAAAGAGCTATCCCTGGCGATTATGGGCAAGCAATCAGCTCGCGTGGCGACCAAAATCTGGCGTGCAGATGGGCAAAAGGTCGGTTTTGGGGCTGTTTCAAAAACCCAAAAAAACGATTTCCGGCGGGAATCGAACCACCGACCCACAAACCCCTGTGTGGGTGTGGTAACCTCTGGACCATGGGCTAAAAAAACGGCGGAAGTTTTTTTTATTCACTACCGAGTGAGAATCTTTGGACTCATTTTGAGTTCTTCGCAAACCGGGCGAAATAAGCTCTGAGAGAGCAGAAATACCGTCCTGGGACACTGGAAACGAGTAAATGACGATCTCGCACTTTCCGATAAGAATTCCAACTGAGCAGGCGCTAAAAGCGAATTTTGGCCCGAGGTTTGGCAACATAGCCTAACGGTTACCGCACCCTCCTGGGCCCCTGTAGGCCATGGTTCGATTCCCCCGGTCCGATTTTTTTTTTTTGCGATTTTTCGGTGTGAAAAGCAGCCGTCTGGAAATTATTTTCGAGGTCTTTTTGGGAAATCTTTTGGTTTTCGAGTAGTTCTGGGATGCGCGATTATGGGCAAGCTGCCAGCTAGCCCAGCGATCAAAATCTGACCCCCTCCTGGATGCAGAGAGAAAAAAAACCGATCTCCAGGACCCCATTTTTTCGGGTGCCGACCTCCATTTCCGGGGGGGGGGTCGGTCAAAATTTTTATCCGACCAAATATTCGGAAAGCCCTGTCCTCAACGGATTCAAACGTGTCCTCAAAATCTCGAAACCGACCATTTTCGGACCTGCAGATGGAAATTTTCGGCAGAAATCCGAAAAAAGCCGAAATCTGTGACACTTTTTCGTGGAATGGGTGATAATTGTGTTGTGTTGGTGTCCAGAAAACGCTGTTTTCTGGACCAGTTCCACGGGGCCACAATAAAAAAGATTCTAGCCACAATAGCCACAATACTTTGTGGGTAAATGTTGTGGCTATTCTGCCCACATTGTGGGAAAGTTGTGGGTGCACAGTGCTGCAAGTTGGACCTAAAGTCGCGGCCAAGATTTGGACTAAATCCAACCATTGGACCCAAGTTTGGGAACAATGCTGGTCGCGACGATCGAGACGTGAAAGCAAACATCAACGCGAAGAGTAATAAACCCGTGTGCAGGTCTCTTCTACCACGCCGGCGATGCAGAGTACCGCCTGCGTGCTAACACAAACTTGAACTTACTCTTGCCACGAGTCTTGGCAAACTTCCGGGTCCAAAGTTGGAAAAGTAGGCACAAACTCAGGAAACCGTACTGTTCAAGTTTTGGACCAGATTTAGACCAAAACCCGTCCTGAAGGTTGTGGTATCGAGTCCCCGAAGTGACGATTTTTAGCGAATGTTCTATAATGGGCAAAAAGTTAGCGAATGTTCTATAATGGGCACAAGGTTATCGAGAATGGGCAAAAAGTTAAAAATAGTTCTATAATGGGCACAAAGTTAAGAACAGTTCTATAATGGGCAAAAAGTTAAGAATAGTTCTATAATGGGCACAAAGTTAAGAAAATGTACTATAATGGGAATTAGCCCTCTATAATGGGCACACAGTTATCAAGAATGGGCAAAAAGTTAAAAACAGTTCTATAATGGGCACAAAGTTAGCGACTGTTCTATAATGGGCAAAAAGTTAAAAACAGTTCTATAATGGGAAATAGCCCGTAATGGGCACCAGCCCGAGGGCGAAAAATACAGATGGTCGGGATTGAACCGACGATCTCTCGCGTGTGGGGCGAGCGTCCTAACCACTAGACGACACCTGCTCTGACAAAAAAAAATTCAAAAATTTGGAATTTTTTTTCCATCGGGCACCTTCCTTTCCACCGGCCCAACGGACCGCGATTCTGAGAAAAGAACAGCCGCTCTGTGCATAGCTGTCAGCCACAAGGTAGCCACTAGTGGCTAATTGGGAGCCACAAAGTAGCCACAAACCTTGTGGCTACCTTTGTGGCTAATTATGCAAAATTTGGATACCCAGGAAAACCACGTGAAACTAGTTTTTTTGGCCAGAAAATGCATCTAAAACACAATTTCTGATGATTTTGACAGGTTTTTGGGCCCGAATTTGGGTAAGCTGCTTCGCCCTGGCCTCGTATCCTCATCCGCGAGTCAGCGGCAACGTTGGCAACTCTATCAGTAACTTCGTACAACACTGCAAGTAATTCAAGGCTTGAAAAGTTCAGAAAACATCAACAAGCTGCTGCATCTTGCCAACACGGTCGCAGCACCAATGCTAATGCCATTGTTCTGGTACATTTTGAGTCAGAGAGTGCACCGGAGGAAGACGAACCCGTCGAAAGCGATGTTGATATTTCAGACCGCAGAGTCAGTACGAAGCTGCCAATGCTTCTGTTGCCAAGTTTTGGAGCAGGCAAGGAATCAATTTAGTTCAAAGGGTCGCTTGTCCGCAAACCCGTTTCAGTTGCGGGGTGCATAGTCTCCAACTTTTCCTGCTAAAGGACCCAAACCACGCCGGTGACAGCCGTACTAGTAACGGCGATGCACTGATATTCTAAGATACCCAAGGTTAAACAGGACAGCAACGACCCAGCAAACGGAGCATTTCACAATTACGACAGCTCTTCTACTCGGTGTGCAAGCTACCCCGTCACCAGCGAGTTTGCTTGCTTGCTTGCAAAGTGCACAGAGCTCGCAACTTCACACGACAGCAGGCATAGTTACTATGATAGTACAGCAGGAGCACACTGACAGTGTGACTGACTCCCTGTAACAGCTGTCACTGAGTGGCACTGTTACACTTGTTGCAATCAGCGTCCGAAAGAGTTCAAGGAGGAGCCAAAGATCCGAGAAAAGTAGCGGGGGCAATCTCTCACACGTCTTGGAAATTCCTCGCAGGCTCCTGTAGCACAGGCCCAGCCAAGGCACAAGGGAAAGTTGAAAGTGACTGACTGTCAAAATCGTCAGAAAACGTGTTTCAGATGCATTTTCTGGCCGAAAAAGTTAGTTCCACGCGGTTTTCCGTGATACCAAAATTTTGCATAATTAGCCACAAAGGTAGCCACAAGGTTTGTGGCTACTTTGTGGCTAAATGGGGCCACAATGTGGCAACCTTGTGGCTGACAGCTATGCTCTGTGAGCCGGCTTCGAGGTTAGGCCGGCTGTACTGGGCCGCTTGTTGCCGGTTTGGGTGAAAGCAGAAAGAAAGGAGTGATTGCTTGATTGTACGTTTTTCGCTCGGTGGCTTCCCTGCGCCCACTAGGTTCAGTTGGGCGGAGGTTCCATCATTGCATGTCTTCAAGTTCTTGAACTTCGGCGTACTTATGTAGGTGGTTGCGTGTCTGTGGGTGCTTGTGGGTGGCTCCTTCCGATTGCTCGGGGTGCCTTTCCTCCCACTACGTTCGCGTCGCTGCGGGTGGGCTTTTCTTGCTTGCCGCCAGCACCTGCGCGGCTTCTCCCCATCGGGGCCTGTACGGCCGGGTGACGAATCCGTGGTGCCGCCGCGGCAAAAGAAAACTGTTTGGTTGTTTTTTTTTTTGGAGCGCGGGACACTGTACTTGCCATGTTGGTACAGCGGGGCTGCCGGTATCCGGTTGCTTCCGGAGCGGTAGTCCAAAGAAATGCTTCTTCAGCACACTGTGAACGCCTGTCTCACAGCGACACGGGACTGGCCTGCGCGTGACTGCTAACAGGTCCGACCCGGTAAAAAAACCCGCGATGCAGTGACTCTACCCCCTGCATCAGGGTGGATCCGCTTCGTCCGGTCGCGCCCCACCAGATGCAATGACGATCCTTGCCACCCCTCGGGCTATAGAAAAGCTCAAGCGGTGGAAGAGGTCCTGGCAGGCGGCCGAAACGGTCCGGTCTTCACGGAGGGCGTTGGCGCGGGCAATGTGCCGCAGCTCCGTGATTGCTCCTGGGCACCAGGCCCCGAACGTGTCTACAACTAGCGGCACCGCCTTCCATTCCCGCGGGTCTGGCTCATTGGCGATGATTGCGTTGTAGACACGCTCCTTGACGGCTACAGCGTACGCGGCTGCTGCGCCCCCTGGCTCTGCCGCCGCCCGGGCTGCGTAGTGCGGCTGCGAGAGTTGTAGGGGGTACGTGACAGCGACGTCAAGTAGGACGGTGGTGCCATCCCGGACGTAGCTGATGTCCGGGCGCTTGCGCCGCGCGTTAGCGAACACGGCTCGCTCGATGGAAGGACCGAGCAGTCCTCGTCGAGCGAAGTCGGCGACGATGTCGCGCAGCGCGTTGTGAAGGCGCGTTCGGCGGCCGCTGCCGAAACACGTCTGGGCGTGCGATCCGTTGACGTCGGTCGCACCGTGTCCGCAAAGGCGGCACTCCCCCGGCGCGGCCGCAATTGGAAGCCCCAACCGAAGCCGGACTGCCACCGCCAGCTCGGCCGGAGACAACCACATTGCGGTATCCGCCTCAGGGTTGCCGTACAACCACGCCGAAGCGTGCTTGCCGGAGCCGCTTTGGATCCGCGCCCGGATCCGGTCTTGAGCCCGGGTCAGGGCCTGACCCTGCAGTTGGCCGGAGTGGCCGAGCTCCTCCGTCAGCGACTCGAGAAGGTTCTTCCTCTTCTCGGTGGCCAAGGCGGACGACCATGCCTTCTGTCCTCGCCCCTCGTACTCGGCTCGTGCCTGCATGACGTCCTGGATCTTCTCCAGGACGGATTCATAGGTTGCAAGGCGCGGGTCGACGAGGGACGCTTGGACGGTGTCGTCCTGCTGCCACGTGAGGTGTGGCAGCAGGGCCGGGGCCACGAGGGCGGGGAGATGCGGCCCCCCGTCCAGCGCCGCGGCGATGTGGGCAATCCCGCTCACGTCCGCACAGCTGTGGAGGCCGAGGCCGCCCATCCTGACGGGGAGTGACGCCTGTGTCCACGACGCGTCATCGGTTTCGATCCCGGTGATCGTCGCGAGACAGGACTGGGTGACGCGGTCGATGCCCGCGTAGTCGAAGACGGGCCCTGTCGCGCGCATGAGGTGCACCACTCCAACGAAGCCGGCACAGAACTTCGTCAGCGTGAGCGCCACGTGCGCGTCAGGTAGGGACGCGATCACCCTCAGCTTCCTCTCGGCGCCCTGTGCCACCCGCTCAACGAACGCGCGGATCTTCTCCGGCGATCCGCACGGCACACCCAGGTGCTCGATCTCATCGAGGGAGCACGTCTCGATGCCGTCTAGGCCCGCCGGTACCTCGGCGCCCGGGGCAATCGCCAGTCTGCACTTGCCCCTATTGAGGCTCAGACCGACTGCTGCGGCTCGCCGCTCGAACTCGCACAGCCATCGCGCGATCGAGTCGAGTTCCCCGCCCGTTACCCCGTCGTCGAGGTAGAACGTCAGGAGCTCTGGCTCAGCGCTGAGTGGTTGGGCGCGGCCTCCGGCTGCTCCTGAGGTGCCGGCTCCTGTGCTACTGGCCCGGCTCCTCGGGGGCGCCTCGCGGTATCTGGGCCACCGGCGCCGGCGGAATCGGGCCCGGGGGCGCGAGGGCCGGCTCCGGTTAGAAGTCCGGTTGGGGAGCTTCTTTCTGGCTCGTGCCGTGGCCCGAGAGGGGAAGCTCAGGGAGGGAATGCTGGAGCAGTTGCACGCTCTTTCGTTTTTCTTGGGGGTGGTTTCCTCCCCGTGTGTCGCCTCTTGCTGTGGTTTGCTTGGGGCTTCTCTGCTGTTTTCGTGCGGTTCTGCCCCAGCATTCTCGTTTTTCGCACGAGCGCTGCGGCGGAGTGGGGAGGAAGTGATGGATGTAAGTTCCGACACAGTTGGTAGTCGTTTGGTGTGGAGTGGGCATTCCTTCAGCTCGAAGTAACAACCGGTTCTCTGTTGTCGCCCTGGCTGGCGGCTGTGTTTGTGGTTGCCGGTCACCGGTCTGGCGTTCCGGGTTCTCGTCCGTCGGTGTGGGGTTGTTACTTCGATAAGCGGCTCACTCCGTGACTCTATCACGGGGCTGTGCGGGGCCTTGGCAGAGGTGGGAGGGGTGTTGGGAAGGAGGGAAAGGAGTAAAAGTCAGCCAGAGTAGAAGCTTCTAGAGCCGCCAGTCGTCCGCTTCGGCCACCATAACCAGATCGCCTTCCGGTTGCTGCGATTCAACTGTCTGCTCGTCCGACATGTCTTCCGCCTGTGACGAGATGTCTGAGGCGGCGTCCAGCACGCTTTGAGTCGACTGGAGCTCGGGCTCGGACGCTGAGGATGCGAGGATGGTGTAGTGCGGGAGTACTCCCGCACGCTGCAGGTATGCAAGCGCGAGTTCGGGGTACTCGAACAAGGTGCACCACAGTTCGTCGGCCGCGTTCGGGAACCCGCCCTTGTTGCGGTGTTCCACCTGGTTGCGCATCGCGAGCCTGAAGGGCGCGGTCGCGTCGTCTGCGCACACCTTGAACAGGTGGAGCACAGGGCTCGACGTGAGCGACCCGCAGATCGGGCACGGGCGGAAGGTTCGGGCGCGCTCGGCTGTGCTGAGCGCGCGCATGTCCGGGGTGTACATCGTCCGGATGAGTGGGTGATGCCCGGTGCGCAGCTGGCGAATCTCCCGTTCGGCCCGAGGCGTCAAGTGCCGGCGCCGCTTTATCGTCCGGCCGTTGACCAGCCTAACGAACGGAGTCGTGTTGCCGTCCTTGTCCGCCCGGTAGTAGGCTTCCCTGGCCTGTCGTTCCCTGTCTAGGTTCAGGTATGCCTTGTGTCGATACTTGACGTCCGCGGCGCTAATTTGAATGGCAGGTGGAGGTGTGGCATGTGTCGCGGCTGCGCGAGCAGTAGATTCTTGGAGCTCAGCTGCCGCCGCCTTGGCCAAGGAGTCCGCC